ATGGAAATTGTTGTGAAAAGTCTTCATATGTTTATTCAACGACTCTTTCCTTCCGTATCGTTGGCCACAGTTTTCAACACAACATTTGAACGGCTTTTCAATTATATGATGATTATTTTCACTGTTTTTGGCCTAAATGTCAATACAAGACACAACGGAAATGGGATCTTAAAAAACATCAATTTAAACATTCAAAAATAAGACCATTTAAATGTGATTTTAATAAATGTAATAAACGTTATAAACAAAAATCAGATTTAATTCGCCATAAATACAATATTCATTCAAATGTGAGATTTATTTGTGATTTCAATGAATGCCACAAAAGTTTTGCATCAAAATCATATTTATTTCAACACAAAAGTTGTGTTCATTTGAATGAAAGGAAATTTAAATGTAATGAAGAAAATTGTGGCAAAAAATTCAAATTTAGCAAAGTGTTAATTCGACACAAACGCATACATTCGGGAGAAAAACCATTTGTTTGTCAATTCAACGATTGTACGAAGAGTTTTGGTCAAAAATATTATTTAACACTACATATGAGAAGACATCTAAATATAAAAAGCCATAAATGTATTCATAATAACTGTAATCAACGCTTTGTTACAAAACAGGAATTAACATCACATTTAAAATCTCATAAATGAAATTAAACTTTTATATAAAATATAACTTATTTTGCAAAACATTTTGTATTTAATATTTTACTGTATATACAGTGCATATTATATTGGTTAATAAACAAATGAAATAAAGATTTTTGTTATTAAATAAAATAATTTTGCAAATTAAACATTATATTTAAACTATTTCATATTAATTTGTGGTAGCCCTAAAAGCGATTGGATCTAGATTAGTTAATAGTCTATTAATACTCTATTAATAATAGAGCATTTTACCAAACGTTATCACATAAAACTATTGCAATAGCAATACTTTCCTCAAACAAAATACAACTAATTGTAATGTTTATAAAATGTGTGAATTAAATAATTAAATTATAAATAGTTTTAATAATTAATTATAATGAATGATTAATAATTTATAATAACATCGATGCATGTAAAATATACGGCGATAAAGTGCTAGTTATTTATAAAATTATTCAAATTATTCCAATAACATAATGTTAATTATTAAATGATGCGTGTTTATTTCATTACAAACTGAACGAGGTTTAAATTACTTTAAAATTTACTATTTGAAATTATAATTAATAATTTATAAATTATAATACAATAATTTTTTTGTATTAACTTTATTGCCATAGCAATAATGATTACATTAGTTGGCAATGGATTGATATTTACAACGTAATGCTAGAGTTATCTCAGGTTAAATTCAAGGCAATCACGTCTTAATATTTGTCCTATCACCATTTTTGATGTAATAGATTATGTCACATTTTAACTGAATTGTAGTACTCGTGTTATTAATTATTAAATTATTGCTAATTTACAGTTTATATTGGTTAATAAACAATCTAGCGCAAAACAAATATGAGTGATAATAAACCTTGTTTCAAATGTAAAGTATGCGACGATCAAGCATTTGGTAAATAAACATATTATTTATTTTATTTATTGTTATTTATAATTAATTTACTGATGTTATCACTTATTTTATTTATTTTTAAACATGGTGATTATGAACCAACATGTTTACATTGGATTCATATTACTAACACATAAATGAAACAAAACAAATAACTTATTATAAATTATTTATTATATTTACATAGTATAATTACATAATTTATTATTTAATATTTTGAAACAAAATAGAATATTTATAAATTTATAATCAAGGTTACAATTTCGATGCCATCACGTGTCCCTCATGCAAAGTATTCTTTAGGAGGAATTGTTTTCAAGAGGTAAAATATATTTAAAATAATAAATTATTTACAACACTTAAATTAAATTTTATTATTTATTTATCTATTTATTAAATCTCGATAGAAATTCAAGTGCTATTTCGGCAATCAATGCAAAATAGATCGCTATTCGAGAAAATCGTGTAAAAAGTGTCGTTTAGACAAATGTGTCGCTATGGGAATGAACAAGGTTAGTCTATTAAGTTAACAATATAATAATTATAGATAACTATATAATAAATAATTAAAAATAGGATTACGTGCTTCTGTCGGACGAGCGAACAAAAACCAGAAAATCTAACTCAAAAACACCAGAATATTCACAAACCACTGCATCGGCCGACACTACGCATAGAATTGACAACAATAACAATAATAACAAGGTATCAGATATTGCGGCAAACTTTATCGCATCGGACACTACGGACGATACGGTACGGGCGCTAATCACCCAAAACATGGACACCGCGTATGATATTGTGGCCGAACTGGAACTGTCGGCCGTCGTAACGGACACCGACGAGCTGTCCGTAAATAACGTTACGCTAACCGCACTGGAAGCGCAACAATTACGCCAACTGTGCGGCGCATGCGCTGTGTTTAACGACTATCTACCGGCACAGGTGTCGGCGATAGGGGTGCCACCGGTGGTGATCGAGATGAATGTTAGGCACATCTATCCGGTGACGAATCACGTGATTGAGAAACTGACAGTACGATTGGTCGAAATGTTTCGCCAAATGCCGGAATTTCGGGAACTTTGCGAAAACGATAGGATTTCTCTCATTAAGTACGGCTGTTATGATGTGTTTTGTGTGCGTTCGCTACCCGTCTATGATTATCATGGTGATTATTGGACGTTTACCATGGTAGGTGTAGGATATAGTAAATTATATTTTTATATTTGTAATTAATCATGGGTAATTTTTTTGTGTTCAGAGTGACGATAGACCTGTTATACTGGGCCTTAATTGCCTGTTCCCACGCGATTATAGTGTCTCTAAGCGTTTGTTTCGCACGCTATGCCGGGAATGGGACTCAGACCCGGCGGTTCTCGATTTGGTATTTATATAACTAGTTTATTATTGAAAATTTATCGAGTTTAATTAATAAGTCTAATGTTTAACATATTTATTACAGTTAACGGCGATCACAATATTTAATCCCAATAGGCTTAATCTGATTGATAGGAGTATTGTTAAGTAAGTTAATAGTTTTACATTATGGTAGTTTTTACTTTGTTTTAATTAATATAAATTAATTTTGATCAAAATAGGCGACATCAACAATCATACATGTATTTATTGAAACGTTATTTACAGACCAAATATAATACAGACTCCGAATCGATGCGGAAATTTTTGACATTAATTAATTGTATCATTGATTTGAGAGTTTTGTTGGAAAAATACAGGGAAAAGATTGGAAATATTCCTGCCGATAAAGTTCCCCAACAGTTGCTGCGCGAGATATTTGAATTAAAGCCTAAGACACAACACACTTAACCTGTAATTAAATTTACAAAGAATTTATTTAAATAATCTTTAATATTAAATAAAGTTTAACAATGAGTTAAAAATAATAAATTGTTTTTTAATTTTATTTATAATTAATGTAAATATTTTATGTAAGTTTAAACTTTAAAGTGAATGAATCCGTTTGTGAAAAATTAAATAGTGTTTTGTAGAAAAGATTTTTCCACAATTTTCTTCATTACAATTGAATTTCTTTTCATTCAAATGAAAACTACTTTTGTGTCGAAATAAAGAGTGTTTTTGTACAAAACGTTTGTGACATTCATTAAAATCGCAAACATATGGTTTTTCGCCAGAATGTATGCGTTTGTGTTCAATTAAATGTGAACTACGAGTAAATTTTTTGCCACAATTTTCTTCATTACATTTGAATTTTCTTTCATTCAAATGAACACAACTTTTGTGTTGAAATAAATCCCATTTTCGTGTAAAACTTTTGTGGCATTCATTGAAATCACAAATAAATCTCATTTTTAAATGAACGGCATTTACATGTTTCTGAAGATCGCATTTGAATTTATAACTTTTATTACAATTATTAAAATCACATTTTAATGGTTTTATTTCTGAATGACTTAATTGATGTGGAATTAAAAGATGTTTAGTTGTAGTCTTGTATTGACATTTAGGCCAAAAACAGTGCAAATAATCATCAGATTTAGTAATGATATGACAATTGTTTAGCATTTT